ATTTGATCTACATAATACATTATATTTTTAAAATATAATTGATAGGCCATAAATAAATTTATACCTGTCTATTCTCAAGTACCTGTCCATTCGCAGTTTACCTGTCAATTCTCAGTTTAGTTACACCCTATTAAAGGTATTGCAAATGATCAAACTACAGAAGAAAATATTAACAAGGAAAATATAAAACAAAAAAATGTCTAAAGTATTCATCTATATTACCACCGACATTTAAATAAATTAAATTCTTATTATAATTTAAATTTATTATATAAATATTTATTAACCCTTCCTTCTACTTCCTATTCAGCCGAGAGAGTTAAAATTTTAGTTAAATTTAGAATTAGGAGATTAGAACCGTTGTCAAATAAAGAAAAGTTAGAACTAAAATGATAGTAAATCTTTATTAAATACTTAAATATAAGGTGAAAACATAATCAAAATAAAAGAAAAATAAAATTAATATAAATTAAAATTAAAAATTAAGTTCGTAAAATCATGATCATTTTCTTATTCCCGATTATATATACTTTTCTTTCCCATTCATTTGCATCGTCTTTACTCAAATAATCTAATAAATCTTCGCTTTTCTGTTAAACAATCGATTTGAATATTACTTCTTTTGAATATTACTTCTTTTGAATATTACTTCTTTTGAATATTACTTCTTTTGAATATTATTTCTTTTGAATATTATTTCTTTTGAATATTACTTCTTTTGAATATTACTTCTTTTGAATATTACTTCTTTTGAATATTACTTCTTTTGAATATTACTTCTTTTGAATATTATTTCTTTTGAATATTACTTCTTTTGAATATTACTTCTTTTGAATATTACTTCTTTTGAATATTATTTCTTTTTTCTCTAATTTAATTCATTACAACAATGAACAGGAAAATAAACAAAACTCAAATGAGGAATAAAATTTCGTATCTTTTTTAGTAAATTTACTATTAATATCCAGTGAAATTGATGTATTTGAAAAATTTATGATTGATGATTTTATAACACACTTTTCCTTAACATCGTAATCCAAATTATTTATAAAATAAACAATTTAATTTTTTCGCAGCTCATATATACGCTTTTTTTAAAATGTAAATTTGATTTCATAATAATTTGTTATAATTAGTTACTTATAATTCCAGTATATACAGTACTAATTTTATTCTAATATTTTATATAATAGTTCTGTATCAAATTTTTCATTAATTAATATATAATATTATAGATTTTTAGAATTGAGCCAAATATACCTCTTTAAAACTATAGGGTGCGTCTAAATTCAAAAAATAACTCGCATATATACATTATGTGTCTAAACTTGAAAAAATAAAGTTTTTAACTCTTAGATCGCTCTTCAATAAAATATATTCATGTATTTAATACATTTATATTTATTTTTATAAAAATAAAGTGATTATCAACTAAATTATGAAAAGATTGCATTACCTTAAATATATGTAAGTTCGTGGCTTATTTTTAGAAACACATTAATTATCACCAGCAAATTTTTAATTGTTTTTTCTAGCCTAAATAGGCTTAAAAGATTTATAAATATAATTTTTTGTGAGGTTATAAATTTGGCGAGTATTGTGGCAGATTGTTAAGGAATCTTTCGTCGATATATCCAATTTATAAATAACCTCAGCCTTTTGTTTAAGTTTTAATGTTTTATATTTATTCTAATAATTATTAATAACATTTTAAGCATTAAATAATAATTCACTACTATCATTAATTCTTTATAATAATATTTATCATTGTCATATTCGAATCAAACTCTGATAAAGGTATATTTTTTATTTATATACCAATATCAATATCCATCCAAATCTTTTATTATACTAATATCATAACTTACTAAATCTCTTATACAAAAACAAAGGAAAATCAGGTGATATTAAATAATAATTAAAAAGAATATATTCCTCTTGAAAATATATTTACAAAACGTCAGAGTTGGGCAGGTCCTCCGAAAAAAGAATCTAGATATAGATACATATTCTTTGGGGAAAAATCAATCTTAGATACAGATACTGTATCTTTTTTAAAATATCAAAAAGATACAAGATAAAAGATACTTGTATATTTTGCCTAATTAGAGTACCTTGAATATAAAATACTTCTAAATTATCATTACCAATTAAATTAGAATAGTATAAAATACAGTTTTTATTATTTATTTATGAACATAACATAAGCATATAATAAGAATGGATATTTTAAAATATTTAATGATATGTTAATTATAATAATCTCGCATTATAATATTATTATCAGCCCATTCTTAGCAAAGATAGTGAAGAGTAACTAGTATATTTAATGAGAGTTGAAATATATTCGCAAAAGAGTATTTAAAATAGATTCATTATTTTATAAGATAATCAAATTTTCAAATAATTTATCATTAGATCTTTGCCGTTTCAGCGTACTTAACATTTTGCCAAATAAATAACCTTTCAATTGGAGCTGATCAAGGTATTACATTACAGTATTTTTAAAACATTTCCTTAATGGAAGGATAATAATTTAGCATTTATATGTATTTCTGCTTTCTTTAATATAATTTAAAACCTCCAGTTTAATGTTATTTGTATTATTGAACTCAGCAACATTTGTTTCACCAAAAGAAAAATAATCATCATTCTCTTTATTAGATGTTAAATCTACTAATGTAATCAGTTTGAGCCTGATTATATACTCTGGTAATAGATATAGGGCTTTTAATAATATATTTTAAAAGTATTTTTTCAACTCAATCCATAAGTTCTTAATCACAAAACCTCATTATATTCATATTATAGGAAAATATTTTATCAAAATCCTTTGCCCATACCATCTGGGGCATTAATAAAGGTAGACAATATTGTAAACTTAAATTTTTAAGATAACCTATGTCCCTTTTAACCATATATAAATAATATACTTTAATATGTTTAACAAAATTTGTAACCCTTTATCATTTTTTTGTTTATTCAGGTTTTACATCTAGCCTGATTGTCTTTTTTAACTTTTATTTTAAAAATTTCCATATAAAATCTTAAGATTTGGATTTGATTCACGGGAACTTATTTCTATAATTTAAATTTAATTACCTTCTCCTTCACTACTATATGTGTTAATCATCCTACAAATTAAAAAATATTACATAAAATATTGGTAATGATATTATATCGAGTTACATTTATATATAAAATATAATCTGTACTTATTTCGTTTAGGTGTTGTTAGTATTTATCTATTTAACCTTAATATGATTTGTAAATTTTCCATCTAATAGGGATTGTGATTGTCATCATATTTAAAATATGGCGGAAAAAAATAAGGAAATTTATACAAGATCTCGTAGAAAACAAGATATATACTATAATATGTTTTAACATGAATATTAAAAAGAATCTATATAGTATCTATCAAGAAAATGAAAATGAAAAGACATGAGATTCCTTTCAGAATAAAGGATCTTAGATACAAATATTAGTATCTTATTAATAATGTCAAAAACACTAAGTACAAGATACAAAAGGATCTTGTATCTTAGTTACAAGTATTCGCGGTACTGCCCAACTTTGCAAAACGTCCATAAATCAATTACAAATTTATAAGATACAACAGTTATCATTTTGTATTAAAATCATGTTTTAATAATAGAAGGTAAAATGTTATTCCAATGTTAAATTCAAAAATGATTTTAAAATTATTTAGAGATAATCTCCAGAGAGTCACTAGCCTTTATGATCTCAGGAAGCTCAAAATTTTTTTAAAAATAATATTAGCCAAGATTACCTTCTATTTTTTAAGCTAGATTATATAAATATATCTACTTTTTTTAGTTAGATTATCCACAATTACATCTTTTTTGCTAAAATTATCCATTTTTTTAGCTAAAATTATTTAAAATAACATTCTTTTTTAGCTAACATTATCCAAAATTACCTTTTTTTAGTGGTATAAAAAAATTTCAAAATTTTGAGAGGCTCATCAAATTTTTCAGAGCTCAAGACGCCTCTTTCCCCTAGTGACGCTACTACTAATCCCCAATTGAAAAATCGCCGCTTCGGACATTCTGATAAAAATAGCTTTGTTAACATACAAATGGGACTTAATAAATTTCGCATTTAACCGATTTGTATTTAAAAATATTTTTTAACATTATGCCATTGTAGATTTTAATAAATATCAGATATTTGCATTTGAATGTATTTGCAAATAAGCTATATACAACAATTCCTATTTTACTGTATTCTTTATTCAAAAATAAAATTGACCTAAAAATCTAGATGCGCTATTAAAGCAAATAAAGAATCTGCCAAAGATTCAAATTAAATAAGAAAAAAAAAAGTTTACTTGGCTTCTGCAATATATTAATTAAGTTCATAATGAAAATTTTTAAAAACCCCTTAAATATGGATTCTTTATCCTGAAATACTGCCGAGTGTGGGCTTTCATCATACGAATTCGATTAAAGACAATCGAGCTAGTTTAAGAGTAAATAAGTCAAATTTGATGTTCATAAATATTAATGGACCTTTGCCATCGGAGTATATTTCAGGCCCATTTCAGAATATAGAAAAGTAATCATACCGGGGCGAATGAATTTTTCAGAAAAATACCAAAAAATGAAAAAGTGAAGATTTATGGAAATTTTTTTAATGAATAGTTAATAAAGAATTTTTTCATAAACGTGGTCAAATCTGACAGGTGATGTGATTAAAAATGAATTCCTTGAGTTGATCCAAAATAACATCACAGTATTTATTATAAAGTTACATATTTTTTATTGATAATTTTAAAAAAATTATAAGGGAAGCAATGCTTCTCTTTTACTGGGGAAGTTTGTATATAAATAAATAAATAATTAAAATTTAAAATAAAAACACTCCGATTAATTTTTATAAAATTTGAATATGATATACCTCAATAAATGTCATGTTTTTAGGAACCAATTTGTGAAAAATCTATATATTTTTTTAATAATATGTTTCGAAGAATTTTACGACTTTTACGTTATCGTAAATTAATTATAACTTCTGCACTTGGCTATTCTGGATATAATATATATAATAATCACACATTTTTACCATCTTTTAAATATTTCAAAGATATTAGAGATTTTTTTGATTCTGATTATGACCAAATAATAAAGAGAATCCATGATCAAGAAAAAGTTTTAAAAGCAAATTTCAATAAAACTTTACAAAACTTTTATAAAAAATATGATGAATATTTGAATACTACTTTCGAACCTATTTCATATGATGGAGATATATATGAAGGTACTTAATTAATTATTATTGATATTATTGGTTTATTAGATTATTCATCTCTCAAAATGTCTCTCCTTCCTTTCAGTCTATACAATACATTTGGTAATGATAAGACTTTAGAAATGGATAAAAATGAAATAGTTGATATTCAAATGAAATATCAAAGAGAAATTGAAAAGCTAGAAGAAGAAAATAGGGAATTACGCAAACGACTTTTGATTTGCAATAAAGGCCATAAAAAAAATAAGGATAATAATATTAAATTACCTTTGATTGATTTATATTCTGAAATACTTGATGATTTAAATGATTGCCAACAATCAGAAAATCACATGCCAAAGTATTAATTAAATCTGTACTCACCTTATAATTTTTTTAACATTTTCAACTTATAATAATGTTTTTTTACATCCCTTTGTTTTACTGATCAGGAGAAGCTTTTATACCTATTTTAATATATGAGTCATTCCATTTCAAATGAGAAAGAAAATCAAGATTTTCCACAACCCCTTTCAATTTTGATAAAAAATTGTAGCCTAATTTTATATGTTCTAATTATATCAAAATAGCAAAATAATGCAGATTAAAGGTTCAACAATTCTTTTTTTAAAGAACCTTTTACAGATGTTATTAGTCTTATTAAAAGCTAAAATAGTTTAAATAATGAATATAACATTAATAACTTATTCAATAATTTACAGTTATTAGAGAAACATAAAATTAAATTTTTTAAACATTGATTTGAAGACTTAAAATTAATATTTCAAATATATTATGTGCTCTAATGTTTTGAATTTTTATTTTCAATAATTAGCATGGCTGGGTATTTATAAATGATGTGAATAATGAATTAAATATATATATGGTGCTATTTTGATACTATATAGGCTTTTTTATGTTTTAAAATCATTTTAAGGGCATTATAATAGATTTACGAATATTATGAATATTGAAGTAAAAAATTTTTAATAAAATTTATTTATTCATGACTAAAAAATATTTTTTTTTCTTTGCTTTAAAAAGATTTTAAACAATAAACAAAAGCATTTTATTGCTTTGAAATGTTCACATATAACTCCATCCTATACTTTATAGATTATTAGCAACATTTTTTTAAAATAATTACCTAGCTGCTCTAATTAAAATTTGAAAAATTGGAGCTCATTATATTTTTGAAATATTTAAGATGGAAATAAGTTGACCAATATTTAAAAAAAAATTATTTTGATGTTTCCTTCATAATTATTAACTAGTTATTAATATTAAATTCAATATTCGAAGTAAATACATATGCAAATATCAAACACAATTAATTTATAAAATGGTTGTAGAAAGAAATAGATAGGGATATGGGAAGAGCCTTAATTGACACTGGGAAAAATTTGGATATATATATTAAAAATGTGATGGCTGGAAAATTTGTACAAAAAAATCTAACATGTCAGGACAAACATTTTGTAAACTTTTAATGGGCTGGGTTGAGTATGACTTTCTGTAAAATTCTAATGGGCTTGAATTTGTGCAAAATTTTTAACAGGTTGTGCTATGTAGATATAATCCAAGATGCCTATAATTTTTAAGGGGGGGGGGCTGGTATTTATTTTTGATATAACTCATAAAAAAGCTCTGTTTAACATGTATTGGGCACTTTTTTTAGAAATACCACTAACAGTATTTTATATTTTGATACCTATGATATTTCATATCCATACTTTAAAATAGTAAAGTAATTTTTGTACATGGATTTTTAAAATAAATTCATAGCCTTATTATAAGCTAAAAAATTTAATATCATCTTTGAGTTTTATTGGTCAAAATAGAAAGTATTGGTTGATACCAATGACTTAAGATTTTTTGCAATAATTATACCAAATATTGTTATTGACACACCACTAAATAATTGCTGAAATATACTTTGTGTTGTGTTAATTAATAGTAAATTAAACTTCTTAGCTGAAAGCCTTGGTTATATGTTTTACCATTAATCAACCAAATATTTATTTTTTTACTAATTTTTTTGAATACAAATCATTAAATAAATCAATTCTCTCTTTTGTTTATAGTTTAATTTTTATAGTTTTCCTTTCAATAAAAACATTTAGTATGCCTCATTTTATTATATTAAGTTTTAATTAATTATTAAATTTTATTATTAGAAATGATTTTGAATGTTGTATTAATCCTGAAATTTTTTCCTTATAAATAATATACTCTTATAAAGTACTATCATAATGTCTAATTATTGCTACTCTGTTTGATAAATGATTCAATACTCTGTTTAAGGTTAATTTAGATGTAAATAGCTTGCAAATATTAATGAAAATAAAATAAAATAATACAAGTTTTCCAAATAATATTTTTGATTTTTGACATAATTCGCTAAAAAAATTTATGAATTCTTTCTTTGGTATTGTAGATGGATTGGGTAGTTGATTTGGCAAGTCAAAAATGATTATTCGATTCGATTCAATTCGAAAATTTTATTTAACCATAAATTAAAAAAGATAGAATATTAAATTTATTTTGTATGGATAAAAGACAAACAAATTTTATTAGTAAGATAGTATAGAAGCATATATATATAGTATTTTTGTATATAATGTAGTAAAAAGCATATATATATATAGTATTTTTATATATAATGTAGTAAAATTATATAATCATGTAGATGGAAAATATACCAACAACAAATTTTATAAACAAAAAGTTTTTGCAAAAATAAAATTTATGATTTCTCCATTACCAAACGACGGAGAAATATCTGGTTCGCTCGTCATTCTTGACGGGATAGTTACTAGATTATTATAATTGTATATGTGTTATAAATTGCATATAAAAATAAATACTTTCTTCGTCCATCATAAAACAATTTTCCGAAGTTAATTTTGTATTATGAAGTTATTCGAATAAAGACAGCCGTTAACAACAATTTTAGAAATATAAAATGTTTCTTCATTATTCCACTAGGAAATTTTATTAAATAGGAATCATTGCAAATAATTCCTACTAATAATATGATTATTTTTCAATATTTATTAATATAAATTATTTTAATCGAATAATTCGATCGAATAATAGATAAAAAATTATTCGACAAATAATATATTTTCCTTATTCCGAATCGAATAATTGTGATATTCGTATTCTTAAAATACGAATCAAATCGAATATCGAATAACAAATAATTCGTTTTAGGTATAGATATAAAATGGCAAAAAAATATATACATATATTAGACAGATTTAATTCTTATAAACCCCTTACAATTTTTCTGGATCCAAGGAAAAAATAAATTATTCTCGGTTTTCCTGGGCTTGGGAAATATTTTTCACAATTAATATGTACTTGGAAGGTGCATTTTTCAAAATTAATATAGTCTTAGATTTCTGAAAATTTTTTAATTTTAAATATGGGCTAGAAATTGGCCTGAAAATTTCTTTTGAAGACATGGCCAGGCCTGATCAAAAACCAAGGCCCATGCAACTTTCATATTCTGATTGTATTTTTAAATGCATTGTGACTTTTTATATATTTTATTTCAGTTCTCAACTCCCAAAATTATTATGGTCTTTGGCAGGTTTGAGAAAATTTTCCCAGGTGCTTGGACCTGGCTTGGGAATTTTTTTTAATATTAGGCATTGATATAATATTTAACACAGAATATCTATATGGCCCTCAGGTAAAAGCTAATTTAAATATATTTTTATTTAAAAAAATAGTATTTACTCTTAGTCTAAATGGGTTGGCCTTGCTTTGAAGTAGGTGTGAGCTGGGTTATAATAGAATAAAAAATAGATATGGTTTTTAGAGATTTACCTATCTCCAGGTTTGGGAAAAAATTTTGAAAATTACTATGGGTTGGCCAGGCTTGAGAAAATTTTTTATAAAATTATTTTGAGTTATCCAGGGCTTGGAAAATATTTTTATAAATTATATTGGGCTGGGCTTTGGAAAAATTTTTCAAAATTATTATGAGCTTGGACGTTTGATAATTTTTTTATTATTAACTATGGGTCAGACATTTGCCTAAAACAAGTTATTTTGCATGGGCTCGGCCTGATCAACCAAGGCCCATGAAAATCTGATTTTTATTGTATTTTTAAATTCATTATGATTATTTAAATATTTTAATTCAGTTCTCAACTACAAAAATTATTATGATCTTTCATTGGGCTTGGAAGTATTTTTCAAAATTATTATGGCTTTGTACTTTGCCTGGAAATTTTTTTTAATATTAAATATTAGGTATAAGTGATCAGTAATATTTAACAATAATATTGGTATTATCAAGTCAAAGCTTTAAATTTATTTTTACTCAAACCATAGTATTTACACTTAGTTTTAATAAATTAAACCTGGCCTGAAGGATGGAGGGAGTAAAAATAATAAAAATTGGATATTATTTTCAAATAACAGGTAACAACTAGCATAGAATAAGAAGAAAATTTTTATTCCCCGGCATTTTTGACGGGTTATCTACTAGTAATATATATAAAAGCCGTGTCACAGTCACAATTTCACTGTCTCAGTGTCACAATTTATAATATATTTTAAAAATTCACAATTTTTTAAAAGCGTCTGAGGCCTAATTGGCAAAAGCGTCGCTCACAAATGTGAAGGTCATGGGGTTCAAATCCCAGTAAAGATTTTTTTTTACTTAATCTGGCAAAATTAATTAAATAGAAAATAAAATAATCATATTCATATACGATTCAAAGTTTGTTGTTATTTTAAAATTCAAACTATTAAATAGGTATTCTTATATTTTTAAATTTTTCACAACGTAATAACCAATAGTATTCTTATAGCATCATACCATATCAAACACTTATTCATCAAAGCATCCATAAAAATATTGAATATAGCCAGAGAAAAAATATTTTTCTTAGACGAGACATACATAAATTTACATGTTGTACCTGTTTACGCCTGGGCACCATACAATGTTATGCCAACTGTTAAAGTCCCACCATCTAATGGTAAAAATTTAAGTATATTATGTACTATGGGAATCGAAGGTGTCATACTTTATCGCATCATCGAGGGAGCTTATAATAGTCTACTATTTCGAGAATATATGATAGAACTAATTAATATCATACCAAGGGATGCAGTTATTGTTATGGACAATGCATCCATCCTCATTGATAGTTTAAAGTGCGAGTAGAATTTTGCTCCCCTATTCGCCTCAACTTAATCCAATAGAGATTTTCTTTGGCGTATTATAAAACAAATATAGGTCAATGAATCCCCGACCAAATACAAGAAACGAAATCGTTCATAATGTAACATCAATTCTTAATGAATTTACTATTCCTTATGACTTTTCAAGTTATTATAATAAAATGCATCAATATTTGGAGAATGGTTATCGAGGACAACCATTGAATTAAGGTAAATTTATTAAAATATAATTTATATTAAAATATATTTTAAAGGAATATAGAAAATCGGAACACATAAAAAAAAACGAAAATTAAAATATCCAATTTTTTATATTTTAATGCATTTTTTAAACCTGTTTTGTCATACATTATATATTTGATCGTCATTTATTTTTTGAGTATTATATAAAAATAAAAAAACATATGGTTAAATCTTTAATTTTTTGCTTTTATTATATTAATTTACCATGTAATAATGAAAAAATTCTCAAGCGTCCAAGCTCATAATAATTTTGAAAAATTTTCCCCAATCCCAGCTCAATATAATTTATAAAAATATTTCCCAAGCCCAGCCCAACCCATAATAATTTTATAAAAAAAATTTCTGAAACCTGGCCAACCGATAGTAATAAATATTTTTTCCAAGCCTGGAGATAGGTAAATCTCTAAAAACCATTAGTCTATTTTAACCCAGCTCACCCCAACCAAGGCCAACCCATTAAGACTAAGAGTGAATACTATTTTTTTGAATAAAAATATATTTAAATTAGATTTTACCTGAGGGCTATATAAATATTCTGTGTTAAATATTACACCTATGCCTAATATTAAAAAAATTCCCAAATCAGGTCCTCACACTTGAATAATTTTGATAGTTAAGGACTGAAATAAAATATATAAAAAGTCACAATGCATTTAAAAATACAATCAGAATATGAAAGTTGCATGGGCCTTGGTTGATCAGGCCTTGCCATGTCTTCAAAAGAAATTTTCAGGCCAATTTCTAACCCATATTTAAAATTAACAAATTTACAGGAATCTTAGACTATAATAATTATGATATATGTTTCTCAAGCTATGTCCAAGTCCATATTAATTTTGAAAAATATTTCCCAAGCCCAGGAAAACCCAAATAATTTATTTTGATCTAGAAAAATAAGTCTGATGTAAGGGGTTTATAAGAATTAAATCTGTCTAATTTCAAAATTATCATCAAATGAAGGGTAAATATCTGATTTACCTATGATTCTACTGATGAGCTCCTGGTATTTATATGAAATACATGAATACATATCATTCTGAAAATATGTTCATCTTAATTTAAATTTTAAACAAACCAATTGATTTATTACCTATTTACAAAATATAAAATTAAATTTAAGAAATTGTTATTAAATTACAATAGAAGAAATAAAAAGATATGTCTAAGTTAACAAATAATAGGAGGTAAACTTCAATCATAGTCAAATTATATATAAGTAAAGGTTATACATTTAATCAAAAGTGTTATAATAAGTTATGAATAACATACATTCTACAATTATGAAGTTATGAGTAAATATACAAAATTTTCCTAACTTATGAGGTTTTATTTAAAAATTTATATTTATTTTGGGGTTATTCCACTATTTTTATAAAATATGTTAATGATTTATTTAGTAATTTTATTCATGTTATTTATTTGTATTTTTAATTTATAATCTAAAAATTTATTCTTGCTAGATAAGAGTTTTGTGTTACCAAAGTGTGCTTTGTCCCTTCCATATCTCTTATCTTTTCTGAAACCCCAATTATAAAATCCTAAATTATACATAAATTCAAGAATTAAAATAGTATTTAAATAAATCTCTTATTACTATTGAATGGGTACTTGCCATTTAAAGTTCTACCTTATTCCTATTAAATTGGTACTTGATGCATTTAAAGTTTTATTTACCCCTAAATATTCAGAAATATGTCAACTATTAATTAATTTATGAAAGTTGCATGGGACATGGTTTTTTGATCAGGTCTGGCTATGTCTGCAAAAAAAATTTCAGACCAATCTATAACCCATATTTAAAATTCAAAAATCTTAAAGCACCTCTATTTTAAATTTTATCCAATATGATTTCATTTTAAATTTTGATATTTCTAATACATGCTCACAGTATACATTGCAACAATTTTACCTCTTTTACTCTTAAATTTTAATATTTATATAAAATTTATTAATACAGTATATTTAATACCATACACACAAACTAAATAATTACCCTTCAACCCATGGTTTTTTGATCAGGCCTGGCTATGTCTGCAAAAAAAATTTCAGACCAATTTATAACCCATAATTAAAATTCAAAAATCTTAAAGCACCTCTATTTTAAATTTTATTCAATATGATTTCCATCACATTTTTAAATTTTGATATTTCTAATACATGCTCACAGTACATTGCACCAATTTTACCTCTTTTACTCTTTTACTCTTAAATTTTAATATTTATATAAAATTTATTAATAAAGTATATTTATTACCATACACACAAAACTAAATAATTACCCTTCAACATCTATATAATTAATATTTTAAATTTAATTATATTCAAGTTGGTGCATGCGTGAAACTGTAATATATATATAATTAATATTTTAAATTTATTTATATAGTTGGCGCAAAAAATTAACATTACACTATACAGTCTCCTTAAATTTAAAATATATTAGGGAGATACGAAAACGATCATGTTTTGATTATGGAGATAAAATTAACATTACACTATATAGTCTCCTTAAATTTAAAATACATTAGGGAGATACGAAAACGATCGTATTATGATTATGGAGATTATATATATTAGATGGGTAGATTGAAATAGTTATATAGATTTTACGGTATCTCTTTAAATTTAAACAATATTAAAATGATTTTTTATAAGAGTTTCTATATTAAGGAAATTTCACGATTAATCCAGTCTATAAAATCATTTTGATTATTAAATTTGATTTAAGCTTATATGCAAAATATAGTTAAATGAGGTATAATAAAATATGTTTTAAAAAAAGTAAATATTAAGATTCAAACAAAAAAATAAATGAATTAAATGGTGATTTTAAAATTGCGATTTTAATCAATTTGACATATCAACGCTATTTTCTAAACAAGTCAAAAATTAATTTTTAATACGAGATGCTCTCAAGCCTATTTGGAGTTCAAGTTTTTAAAGCGTAATCTTTCAAACTTTACTTGAATTGGTTAATGGTTAAATTAATTAGGCCTTTGGATCAATCCAAAAATGTGAATTGATTAATTTTTGAAATTAATTAATCATTTTTATAGCTTGGAATGGGCCTTTCAAAACTTGTTATTAGGGGCAAAAAATATTGATTTTAAGTATGATTTTCATAATTAATTGATTTACACATTAAGGCAAAGTTTCTTCAATCAATCAATTGTACCTTAAAATATTTAATGACATAGAATAGTTGTTGTGGGCGATCAAAGCTCAGGTAAAACGAGCGTCCTTGAAATGATAGCTCAATCGCGCATATTTCCTAGAGGGTCTGGCGAAATGATGACGCGTTCTCCAGTCAAGGTTACCTTGAGTGAAAGTCCTTACCATGTAGCTCAATTTAAAGGTTTTTTAAAATTTAAATTACCCCGTGGTCGAAATGTAAAATGTAACACAGATAGCGAAAAAGAATTCGATTTGGGTAAAGAGAAGGATCTAATAGCATTGCGGAAAGAAATCGAACTAAGAATGAAAAAAGGCATTAAAAATGGTAAAACCATATCGAATGACATTGTATCCCTTACTGTTAAAGGACCTGGCTTGCCAAGAATGATACTTATTGACCTACCAGGTTAAATGATAAATTAATAAATTTTATCGAATTAGTTTTATATATATTTAATATGGTTATTAATTATCAGAATTAAATCAGTAAGTTTTACTACTAGGCTATTGATTTTAAAAAAGGATCGATCCGTTGCTATTTTAAGAATATCGTTTATTGGCCCTATATAGTTAAATGGGTTGATCCGATTTATTCAAATGGCGGATAAAGAAATGATTTATGAGCATTTTTATAATTAAACAATTTTCTAAAAAAAAATTGTAATTTTTCTTTTTAACCCGAAATAATCTATTTGCTTTAAATTTATTGTTTTCGATATGCATCTTCCCAAAATGTTATTAAAATCCATATCAACTTTATAATCCGTAAAATTGGATTCAATCTGATCGGCCTATAAAAATCTGTATCCCTATACAATATATTTGCTACCCTATAAAATATAACCATCTTTACTATTAATGTATTGAAATCAACTTTAATTAAACATCTAGGCCTCATAACGTATCGAATAAAAAGTATTTTATTTTAGTTTAAGAAAAATTAAATTTTTGGGTGATTAAACGTGCCGACCAAACCTGCCACTGAACAAAATATAGAAACAATTTAATTAATAGATATAGTTTTTTTATTTACCAAAAAAGACGAGGCCCGTTAAAGTTCTACGAAAAGTTCGCCCCTGCCCGTTAAATTTTTCTGCACTAAATTTTTAGCCATCACATAATTATTTTTTTGCAAATGTCAATTAAGACTTTTAAATATTTCCTCTTTGGTTATCTACTTCTACAACAACCATTTTATAAATCAATTGTGTTTTTATCAGGGATGTGAACCCGGACCTGGACCCTCCTGAACCCTCGTATTTTGGCTGAACCCGGACCCCTTTTAAAGTGGAGGGTCCAAGGGTTCTAGGTGTCATAAAAAATTTTTAAAATAAAAATATTTTTTTAAAAATTAATATATATTTTCTTAACTTTTTTTTGTGGAATCATTGATTTTATTTTCGCGTATTTCTTTCAGTTTTCTTCCTGGACTTCCATTTTATTTAGAGATTGATATCATTAGTGTAGGCGATAATATTTTATTATGAAAATTTTTTAATAGGCTATGTTATAGAAATACTTTGATTATTTTTAAAGTGAATTGTGTAATAATATTTTAATTTAAATGATAATGCACAACACGTTGGTCCTCATTTTGTATGATGCTAGAACGATTATTAAGTTTTAAAGATTTCTGTAATGATTTTATTATAGGAGCATGTGAAGTCATTTTGTCGGAAGATGATTGGTGCCAAATAAATGACCTTACTAGTAGTGTATTAGTTCCTTTAAAAATAACAAAATTAAGATTACAATCAGAACAATTATGTTTATATGATTTTTATGGCATATGGATTAGATGCCGATTAGATTCAGAATTTACAGTCCATTTATAAGAAATATTAGAAAACATGAAAATTCGAGAGCAACAAAATTTGCAAAATAGTGTTGTATACGCTTCTATATATGTAGGCCCTCGATATCAAGTTTTATTGAGTATTGAACAAAAACAAATGGCTAAAGACCATCTTAAGGATATGGCATACGCATTCCATTATTTACAATATATTGGAGGCTACGACAATACCTACTGGTTGTAGTGATAATAATAATAATAATGGTAGCAACATTGATGATCTTAAAATTTTACTTTTGAAAAAAATATCAAATTATCATCAGATTGAAAGGAGGATCAAAAAATGCCTATTGCATCTTTAATAGTAAAGTTCTCTAAAGTTAAGAGAATAAATAAGGATATAAATATTTTAAAATTCTTGGAAGAAAATTCTTCAATATAATATACAGAATTTCGTTCATGACTGTACCGGCGACACAGTAACAATAATTTTATAAAGATAACTATCTATTTTAACCCATTAATGGTCAAGATTTTTCTAGTGGATAAAAATGCTCAATTTTTTCAAATTATATTGATTAATGCTCAAATATGATATTCTAAAAAAATCAGCCAAAAAAAATAATCCTAAATAGAAAATCTAGCCTGGTGCATATATGCACCGTTAACCATTAAGAGGTTAAAAAAGATAAAAATTATATAAAATACTATAAGATCAAAAAACAACAAATATCTTTATTCTTTTTTTGTAATTTATAATAAAAACGAGAAAATGTTTATATATTATGAAAATCCTTGAAACATTTAATATGGAGTGCGATTTGACATGTTTGGCACATATATCTTGAGTGCGTATGGCAATATCTGCATCTTCGTCTTTTTCCATCTATAATTTTGGATAAATAATGTCTAGATGAATCAATAGGGTTTTCACACTGTAATGCAAACTGGCTGGCGTGACCTGTACTTGAATTTTTTTCAATTTTTACTGGCGTTCGAAGGAGGTAGTTAGTAACTTCTCGTCTAAATGCAAGCAAACTCTTCTTGTCATCTCGATTCACGAATTTCCAGATTTTCCATGAATTTACCAAAGCTACATCAATAAAATTGGTGAAATTGGCCACCACCATTTTTTTCCTCTTATTTTTATTCTATATGTAGATATTAGATTATCACATAGATCAACTCTGTTTGTTATAAGAAGTTACCATATTTGGCTGAGGAATTTTTATTTTAGAAGATATTTTCTTAGAATACCTTGAAACATTAGATAGCAAAGAGATAGTGTGGCATGTCGATGCAACGGTCACCACCGAATTATCATTCCAACGAACTATAAATATTTCGTTTAATTTTTCAAACCTATAATCATAATATCCTCTTTCTTTTTTTGCTACAACCTTTATAGATTCAACTGGGCAATGCTCTATTCTATTGTCCCTCACAGTTCCAGTTGCAAAATATCCCATTTGTTATAAGTATGACAAGAGTTTAAATGATGTAAATAAATTATCAAAATATTTTTTATGATAATTTGGTTTTTGCAAAGCCTTTAATAATTTTATGATTACATTTCCACCATATCCATATTCATATTTATTTTCGCTTTTTCCTTGATATATATCAAATGAGAATACGTAACTGTCGGAAGAAGCCAATATCCAAGACTTGTATCCAAATCTAATTGGTTTTCCTTTTATGAACATTTTGCAAGAATGTCTTCCACGATATGGTATCATCTGTTCATCTATTGATAAATGATGTTTGAAAATTCCGAATTTCTGAAATTTATTATTCAATATATTAATGTAAGGCCTAACTTTATAAAATCTATCATGTATATCTATTTTAGTATTGTCTGCCAAATGGATATTATATTTCAAATTTCGAAATTGTAATTGGGTCATTGTATCCCGGATTATTGGAATAAATATCGCTATCATTAGACCAGTACATTCTTTCTTGTGGGAGAGAATGATATCCAGTAAATAATAGAATTCCAATAAATCTCTGAATATCTTGGATGGTTATGCATATGTTAGGTCTATTCATTTGTTTTGCATAAATATTACTTTGTTCTACAATTAGGGAATATAAGTCTTCGTCGAAAATTAAAGAAAATATATCTGATGGACTTTTACCATGTAAATCATTTTCAAGTTTTATTACATCTTCCTTTTCTCCATTGAAAGGGCTTGAAGAATATATTGCATCCGTTTTTCTCCATTTTAAATTGTGAGAAATTCGAGAATAGCTTCTTGTAGAATATGGTTCTGGAAGGTCGTCATCAACTGAATTATGAATCTCCAATTCTCCAGCTGTATCTGAAGGCAAAACTCCGACATTTGTTAAGTCATTTTCATCGAAATCTTCTTCATCACTAACTGCAGAGGGGTTTGGCGGAATTATAACCATATCTCTTTCTTCAATTGGTTCCTCTTCAAAAAGTTGAGCAAGCGCTTGTTCAATTGTTAGAAAACGTTTCATTAAAAAAATTTATTAAAAATTAAATATCTAGACAAATTATTTTCGTAGAATCTTGATTTTTTTATTAGTCATCTATTATTTTGATAATTTTGATTGAATTGACAAAACAGGTGCATAATATTTTATATAAATAAAATAAAATCTTCAGAAAGGAAGAGGCTAAAAATAATTTTAAACTTTTGAATATTTATGAACCTAATAATTTCATATAATTTGATCGGGATAAAAAATTATAATAGGAACAATATATTATTCGATTTAATCTCAGGGGGCTAAAAAAAATTTTTAAATTATTTTCAAAAGGTCTTTTTTTGGGTATAAAATTTTTAAAAAAAAATTCTTAGGGGGCTCGAGCTACCCACCCCTCCTCCCCCCAACCTTAGTGACGGTAGTGGTTTTAAGTATAATATAAAAAATTATAATTCATTATGTTAAATTTCATTTGTTTGAATTTTTTTAAATAATTTATACTGCTAGATGGTTAACGGTGCATATATGCACCTGTCAACTTTATGTGGTTACCTATTAAAATTTTAATTATTTAAAAATTCAAAAATGATTGATAAATATTGATATATCTATAAAGAATATATACACACTAGTTTTCATCGAAATAATTTTATAATATGCTTGTGAGATAACTTAGAAAATTTTGCATTTTAGACCTCATAAATTCGCAAAGTTTGAGGGTTTCTTAGGGACATAAAAAAATATTTTTTTCATATTTTTCTTTTCCAGTTTTGAAGTACAATGTCTGAACTATATAAAAATCTTTTTTATTATTTTATAAAATAAAAACTACTATGTTAAAATAAGGTATATAGGAGGTGGTGCATATATGCACCGTTAACCAGTAACGGGGGTAGAACGTGAATTTTCATCTTTGAAATATATATTGTCTACTTTACGTGGAAATCTCAAGGATGATATTTTAGAAGATATTATTATTGTGCGATTGAATAACATTTAAAATATAAATTATTTCATTTTAAAATTTTTCATTTGTAAATCACGAATATGTATATATTGAAGTTTAATAATAAATGAATGAAAAAAAATCTTATTTTGAGTCATTATTTTTATGGTCCCTGGACCCGGGTCATTTTCAAATTTATTCCCGAACTTGGACCTTTTTTTTTGTTGAAGGGTTCACATCCCGGGTTTTTATATTTAGTGTATTTTGCATTTTATAATTGGGTCCATCCATTGCAAATAAACCAATGTTTCTGACAACCATCTCAAAAAATGAATGAAACTTGGCATGTTAATTATTTATGTTGTATTTTAATAAAATCAAAATTTAGAGCACTAGCTCAACCAGATCAAAGATATATGTCTTTTAATTCGAAAATCACACAATGCGTGATTTCATTAAATCTTATTTAAATTTAAATACTTAGAGTTATAAATTATATTATTTTATAACCTTTAAAATTCTACATTGGAAAATATAAAAAATTCTAAGTTTTTCCTTATTTACGGTGAAAATAAAAAAATTAACAGTATTGGGAAGAGAATTATTTTGGGGTATGATATTCGCCAGGAATGTTTATTACCTTTATAGTTAACTGTTTAATAAAAGAATTGAGTTTCTGTTTTGCGTGATACGTGATTTCAGCGCTAGGCCCTATAGTGTTGACAAGCAACAGAGCTAAGCTAGGTTTTCCTTATTCAAATCAAACTGGATATTTAATTTATGGGGAAAGAAAAAATGAGGAGCCCTTCACACATTCGTAGGCAAGCCGCACATGATTATACGCTTAATAGTCTTGTAGCAATTACTTAAACGTCTGTGGGCTGATTGAAAAAGGGGGCTGGGCAATATTAATATTTAAAAAAATAAAAATATAAAATATAGATGGCGTTATTAAAAATTATTATAATATAATATATTTAATTAAAATATGTTTTGTATTGGTATTAAAAAAAATCTATTGAGTACAACCAATATGATATGAAGCGATATCTAACCCTGCATTTACAGTTAGCGTGAATTCGCAGCGGAGAATACAAAATTGCAGTGTATTTGTATATGAATGCTAACTAGGAATGAGGGATAAGCAAGCAGCCCATACGCATATGGTTATTATTAAATAGCTATATTTTATAGCTTTATAAACCAACTATTATTAAAAAATGTATTTATCGTATTCTATCTTACGTTTATTATTAGTTTCTTGCTTATGATCGTTATTATTCGATATTGGTGAGCCATATCTTTTCCTCAATTGTTGGGTAAAAGAAAAATGGTAAGGTGATGGTGCATTGAAAAAAAGAAATATTTATCTCTTCAGTTTCTATTTTTATTGATATTGTATTTTTTATTTATAAATTTAAAAAACGCTATACTTTTTTGGATTAATCAGTTAAATATAAACGTAATAAACATTCCTGGCCAACACCCATAAAATTCCCTTCTCAACAATGTTTTTTATTTTTACCGGAAATGGTCTTGTAATTCAAAAATTTTTTTTTGTATTTTTCAATGTAGAATTTAAAAATGATATGTAATTGTAACACTTTTTTATGCATTTTTAAAAAAATGTGATTTAATGAAATCATGCATTCCACGATTTTCGACTTTGAAGACGTATATCTTTAGATCTGATTGACTATCGCTCTAAATTTTGATTTTACTAAAATATACAACATAGATAACTATCTTGATAAGTTTCGTTCACTTTAGAAATGATTGTCAGAAAATTTCATTTTTTGGTCGATTTGACAAAAATATATCATATAAAAATTTTTATGAATTTAGTATATTATTTATTTAGTATTTTATTAAATATCTTTTAAAATAATACAAAGAAATTAGCATATTATAATTTATTTCCAAATAGTTTTAAAATAAATTTTAGTTCACGGCTGGTCTATTAAAATTTTACGAAAAATCGGAGATTTGTGAGGCTCTGCCTGATATTTTATATATAAATTAACCGGTACGGCCCGTTATATTTTTTGCCCGGCCTGTTATAACCCGGACTTTTAATCTTCATATCAAGTAATAATGAGATAAAATTAATCTGATTGCTATATTTTTTTAAATTATGTTACAATATTTTTTCGAAATCATCAATCTAAAAATGTAACTACCACCAAAAATAAAAGACTGACCCGGTATCAAAATATAATTAATAAACTTTCGTAACTTTAACAAAAAAAGAAAAAAAGCTATACTTAAATCATTTTTTCGAATTTACGAAAGTTTATTAATTTTTTAAAGTTAGAGAAATTATAAAATTTTATAAAGTTGGGAAATTAACAGGTTTATTAATCTGAAATATCTTAATCTCTAATTTTAAATCTTCACTAATATTTCACAATGATATCCATTAATTAATTTAAGATCCAAGTCTTGATATTTTTATAACAAAATTATTATACTATATCCAAGCAATTTAAAAAACTAACAATGACATTATCTTACTTAGGTATCATATCCACGGTTACGAATGACATGTCTCCAGATACAAAAGACAATATTACACAACTAGTCAAATCCTACATGGTCAACCCAAATTCTATTATAATGTGCATTCAAGTTATTAATTCTTTTAGTTTTTTATGTAGTCATGCTATTTATTAATTTCGAGGGAAGAACACCTAAGATTTTGTAGAGTTGAAAGTATCCTGATTATAACATCTTCTTCGTCATGTTAATCCCATATCTGGGTTTTTTAAAACGCATTCTATCCTTCCATATGGCTCAGCTTTAGGCCTTTCTTATCCAACATGTCCTTGGGATTTGAGAATCCTAGTCGTGGCCTGCCTTTAGTTCGTTGGCCCATAACCTCAAGATCTAGAACTTGCCGATTTACGTTAGTTAAAATAGCTTTTGCAGCTGTCCATACTATCTCAATCTGTTCTCTATTCTCTTTACCGATAAGAGAGTTACCCCATCTTCTTTCTTATGCTAACATTGCTCATATGATCCAGCTTAGTGTATCCTAAGTTCCAGCGGATCATTCACATTTCGGTTGCATCCAACATCGCTCACAGTGCCCAAGTTTCATACTCATATAACACAACCGGTTTGACGATAATACGATACACCTTACTTTTAAACCCCAGCAACATCTTACTGTCACAAATCACCCTTGATATGCTTCCCCATTCCATCCAACCCTTCTGTGAGCAAATGATATACTGTTCTGACGCGGTGGCCCTATTTCTCCAACCTAACGGCCCAAACACTGGACCGATGCTACTATCACTTCGGTTTCCTCGCATATCGGATGTCACCTGCATATAACATTGACCATGGTGGTGTGCCCTCTGCAAGTCTTCGGTTGACTATAAAGAGAAAGGTGCTTAACATTGACCCATGTAGCCTGAATTCTATTAGTCCCCAGGGATACCTCTTTTGCCCATACACCATACCAGATTTTTGGGTATGATATCGTATATAGGTTAATGAACACCATATTCAGCTTCTTCCTCATCTCTCAATATTTTTCTATCAGTTTTCGTAGGGCATAAAATCGGATCAATGGCCGAACAGCTTGCACAAATTTCCGAATACCTGCACCTCGGTAGTTTCCTATTTTTCTAAAATCTTCATAGTATGGCTTATCAACTTTATACCCCTATAATTCTACTATTCTTGCGGATCACCTTAACCTTTATAGATAGGTATGAAGATGCTATATTCCAATCCTAGTCTTCCATCATGATTTTACTAAACAATTGCGCCAAGATTTTACCCCTTCCCCTGCACCCAACCATGCTTCAACAAGTAGCCCATCTGCCATAGCTTTTTTTCTTCATCTTTTGGATTTCAGACTCTAATTCTTTGGCCGTAAAACAGTTGATCTTCGTTGTCATTAAAACAGCAGAAAATTTTAACAAACCTTGGGATTGGAACTAACTGATCCCTTAGATTTTCAACGTTGAAGACTTTGAAAGTACTGTCGCCACCTTTCGATAACCTCGTGCTGTCGATATAAACTTATGCCATCTTCCTCTTTGACGCTGCTCATGGTCCCTATCTACGGATATTTTTACCTCTGCATTTTGCCAATTTGCATTACTTTATTCCTTTTTTCAAGTTCAATTTCTAAGCCATTTCCTCATACTTCCTGCCCTTTGTCATCGCCACTTCTTTCTTTGCTACCCTTTTGCACTCTAAACTTTTCTATCTTTAGGGTCTAGAAAAATATACCATACCTTGTAACATATTTTCTTCTCGCTGATTCAATTTTGCACCCCTTTTCCGAAAAACGGCACTACCTTATTTTTCTGATGCCATCTTGCTCCAGGAATTGTTGCCAGTCCGTTTTTCCTAACAATACTCTTGCTGCCAACTTATCGTCCTTTAACCATCCGAATCTTCGGGGCTTAAACGATCTTCTTTTTGCGGTAAAACCATCTTTACATACTCTAACACTACTGTTAAGCTGTCTAGCGATTTCGCCCCCCTATATAACTTTGCAATCCTCAATCCTCCAAAGATCACTCATACTGTCGGAAGATAATCAACTTTACTTTGATGAAACCCACTTTTATGTTACCAAAGTGTTTGCCTTTTTTTAGAAAAAGGTGTTGCATACTGCCATATCATATGCCTGGACTAGTTACAACAGTTTTTTTTCTTCCTTATTCTGACTCTTGCCATGTCCACCATGATTTCCTTAAAATCGACTTTTCATCTCTCACATGTCAATTAATATCGACCTCCAGCATCAACTTTTCCTCTTTTGAAATCTTTTGCATCACCGCCTCCAGCTCTGTTAGAAAAGTTCCCTTCTCTACTCCCTGTCTGCGGAGCGTAGGCACTTATGATAAATCAGACCTTTATCATCTGCGAGCTTGACCCACATAATACTCATTTCATTCCTTTTTGCCGCCTTTCCATTGTAGTACAACTTATACCCCTCTCCAAGCTCTTTCGCCTTTGATACATATACCACATAATCTTCTATTCGTTATTGTGTTCCACCAACTTGATATTCTTGCCAATCAGTTTTCCCACATTCCAACGTACTACCCGCAATTTTTAACATTTTTCCCACAGCTAACTTCTTCTCCGCTGTGAAATAGGCGGAAGCCTTAATTCATTTTTCGTTTGCATGCGCGAATGCACTGTGCGTTGCTTGATGGATGGGTTCTAGTTTTCTTGTTTGAAATATATAGGACTTGTTTTTTGGCGGCAAGGGTTTTTACTTCAGACTATCAACCTGACGCAATCCTTCCTCTTTTCTCAATCGGGTTTAGAGCCAGCCAATATAACATATAGAAAAAATCATAAAAGTTAATTTAAGCTTCGGTTTTACTATAACTATTCAAGTTATTCCTTTTTTATGTTACAATATATGCAGGATGGATCTATTGATGCCGAAAGAAGTAATGTTACGGATTTAGTTAGTTGCATAGATCCTAATGGAGAAAGGACCATTTTTGTTTTGACAAAAATTGACATGGCCGAAAAAAATTCGTTTAACCCCGACAGATTAAAGAAGATTTTAGAGGGAAAACTGTTTCCAATGAAGGCTTTAGGTGAGGCAATCGTATACATATAATATAGTAAAACTCATTTCAAGAAATCGGACTTGAACATTTTTTTTTATAAAAAAATATTCGAACTGAACGATTTGACTTAAAAATAATAATTTCGGACTATTTTAAAAAAAAGATCGCATAAACTTCAGGAATAAATAAATCTGATAATATTCCGGATGAGCCGGACCGCTAAAAACAGGTCTGGTCTATGTATTTTTACTTTCAAATAATTAAAATCTAAAACTGTATATATACAATAGATGCAATCATTTTATTGTTAAAAGTACTACTTATATACTCGATGCGTGTATTCATTATGGTTAACAAAAAGTTTCTGCAAATAATAGAAAATTTATATAGGAATATAATATTTACAAAATTATTTTCTTATTTTCTTATATATAAAAAAATGCATATTAGGATATTTTGCAGTTATAACTGGTTCCGGCAAGGTTAACGAGAGCATAGAAGAGATTAAAAAATACGAAGAAGAATATTTCCTAAATTCTAAATTGTTTAAAGCTGGAGCTTTTAAGCCAAATCAAATGACGACCGCGAATATGAGTATAGCCGTGTCTAATTGCTTTTGGAATATGGTTTACAATATTTCACATTTATTTTGCCTTGATAATGATTTTGACAACTATTATATTTAATCGTTAATGTAAATATATAATAACAGTAAGAGATGCACTAATACTTGCGATATTGGTATTGGTGATACGTGGCAAATTCCCCAAAACTTTTACAATTATTTTTAAATTAATTTTTATAAAGATTCAAATATATTTTTTATAAATGTATATAAAAAGCATACGTATAAAATATATTTTATAAAAAGAACATTAAAATATTTCAAAAGAGAGAAAAAAAAATTTTTTTTAAAGAAAACAATAAAAAAGACCATAAATAAAATTGATTTATTAGATCATGCCACTCATTGAACCATTAAATGAATAAAGATGAGGTTGTATTTGCATATAGCTATGGATATTTGATAGACAAAAGTATTACTATTTTTGATAAGATGCTTCAGGCCAAAACTTTGAAAATTTTCTAGCTTCAGGACAAAAATTGCCTAAAATGGTCGTGACGAAAAGAATAAGAATGAAATTAGCTATTATAATAGTATTTATTTATTGTATCTTCATATCGCCGTTTGGATAATGGAATCCAGAAGGGAATTGATGGCAAAAATAGCAATTAATATATAAGCCCAAGATAATTTCCTGAATGATATAAATGTTATGCCGACTGGTCTCTTTTCATCTGCTGAATTAAGCCATAAGAATTCTAGGGTAGGTGATAGCCCTGCTTTATTGAACCTTACCTAATAATATATTAATTTTTATATCTCGGATGCCCCTCCCTACAAATCACAAATGAAAGGAAAACAATTTGGCATCTTAAACGTAAACCTACAGCCATGCACAGTTCTTCCGCACTTAGATAAAGTTCCAAAATCGCGCAAGTCACTCTTAGCCATTATCCAAGCTGGTTAACTTTAAATAAGGCTTCGTTTCAGAGAGAACTAGGCCAATGGCGCGTAATAAAAATGATATGGTATGCGCTATTTTGGAAAAACGTATCAGTGCATCTCCCTTATAAGAATTTATTTGATGATAATAATGATCCTGAATTATCTTTAAATTTTATATCAAATTTAGAACTCGCTTCTTGTTCTATTTTAATTAAACGACTTTTATTTTTAAGTTTGATTTTTTTTTTGTGATCTTATTTATAGGTTAAGGAGACTATAGAGCAGCAATCGGACGAGTTTAGGGCAATGAGATTTAATTTAGAAACTGAATGGAAAAATTCGTTTCCCAAATCTAGAGAATTAGATCGTGAAGAACTTTTTGAAAAAGCAAGAAGTTATTTATAATATACTATATATGGCAAAGCCTTCAAATGTTACCACTTCTTACCGTTCCTTGAAATACTAATTATTTTTAAAAAAAATTCTATAATTTGATCACTTCTATAATACTTACAATGAATAGTCTTGAGTGGTCATTATATGTAGGTTCTACTGTATATCATAAACATTTATAGAATCATTTTGACCCTGATATTTTAATTTCTATAGTTACAATTTTTTAAAAGTAACTTGTGTTAATTAATTTAATAAATATCCAATATTCTATATTACTATTTTTTTGACTTGATAGTTTAATATGATTCCTAAAAAAACTCCAGACTTATGAAAAAAAACCCCGGAAATTAAATTAAAAGCACGTATAGCCAATTTTTAATGAATTTTTAGTTTAAATTTCTTCGAGCACATTATTAATTTTATATAATAACTTAATTGTAAGTTAGTTAATATTTTTTTAAGTTCTCTATAATAAAGAAATATACTTTTCACATATTATAATTTTATAAAAAATATACATGGCATCTATATAAATTTCCGGTAGCTCTTCGCAATGTTCCAAACAATGTTTCCTTATAGCTTATGTTATTATCTTCCTAGATACCATATTAGACGAAATATCACGCGTGAACGGGATCACACCCAAACAATGGGAGGATTTTATAATGCATTCTTTGTGGAAGGATGTAAAAGATGACGTTATCCAAAATATCTACTTACCAATTTTCATCTCTTCAAAAATTAGAGATATACAGATTGTAAATACTTCAATTGATATTATGCTAAAAAAATGGGCCGATACGATTTTACCCCATAAAAGTGCTGACTGTGCCTGGAAGAGTCTTGTATTGTTCGTTCAAAATTTTCTGGATAAAGGTTGTTGATATCTTAAATTATAATTTATTTTACAACCTCACTAAGCCATTTAATGATAAAATAATCAATCGCTGCTTTAATTAAATAGAAATTATGAATAATGGCTATTTAAAATTAATCATTTTTTAATTAATTCTTTTTGGCTGTTATTTTTTTCCTTTAGTAGTTTTATTCGTAATTTAATATTTGAAAAAGTTTTTTTCTGTATAATAACAAAATTGTTCATTTTATCAATTTTATTACTATAAATATTAATTAATGTCAACATATTAAGGTTAAGTATAAATTTTTTCCATAAACATATATTTTTTATTTTAATAGATTTACCAGTAAATACATATATTTATTTTTCCCAATATTTTAATTGATGTTTGTAAATATATTTTTCCTCCATATTTTAAGTATATTAACAGTAACATTATTTAAATCAATTTACCAGTAAAATAAATAAATTATTTAGTTAATTATATCTAAATTTTGAGATTTTTGATGTGAAAATATAAATTACGATAACTATTAAATATTAATTTTTTGAAATTAACCAAAATTTATTAGCCTTTTGATCAGGAATCCAAACCGAACCTGAACCAAACCGTTAAAAACCGGTATTTTTTATTAAACCGAACCTAAACCGCTAAAAAATTCTAGCCGAACCTGAACCAAACCGCTAAAATGCCTCTGAACCGGTTCGAGCCTCATGATTTTATGTGTAAGTTATTACTAGTATATTGCAAAATTTTTAAATCAAATTGTTTCAAACATTATTATCAATCACATTTGATTGATTAGTGTCAGTCATAATTTTTATAAACTTTAGTATATTGCCATTTTACGGCATTTTTTAAATATTTTAAGCTTATAAATTATAATGCCTAGAGAAAATTAAATCCAATACCTAAATTATTTACATATAGTATTATAAATGACACATCAAAATGTAATATTACTGATTGTCAAATAAATATGAAAGGCCCTTATAAATCTTGAGCGTCACCTAAAAAAACCAACTTGGAAATCGATAAAATTAACAAAATATTACAACAAAAGCCTAATAAAATAAAAAGGGTTATGATGTCACTATGCCAACAGACGATAGAAAAAGCTTTAAAGGAACAAACAATATCAGTAAAACTAAATAAAATCAATAATAATCGATGCTTGTACTGAGTTGGTCACTTTTAATGGCAGATCATTCAAATTAATTAAAAAAATTCTTGATCCTATATTAGAAGACGTGGGTAATATTAAAATTAATTCTCAAATATTTTCTAATGCTGCAGAATAAGCCTTAAGTATTTGGCAAAATATAATCAAAGAAATAAATGGTAAGTTATTATCTCTAAAAATTGACTGTTACTCGTCTAGACAGGTCCGTTATTAGGATTAATCTTCATTATATTCAAAAAGCAAATATTTTGAGAATACTATAGCAATTAAATAAATTTTGAACGCCAACTGCAGAAAATTTACAAATACTTTAAATTTTATTTTTTCCTTTTAGCTTTCACCTTTTCTAGTGGTAAGCTCCTTTACTATCTATCTCCACTTTATTATTACTCATGCTATCTATTTTTATCTAATTTATATTTGTATATCTGATCAATTTCATTTGTATCGTTCACCGGTGTATCGCTATCGAAGCCAAAGTATCTTGATCTCCCATCGGTGTATCAAATCAATATCGACCAGATATCCCACCGGAATATTCCTCACACCGAATTATCAAATCGACAGATATCCCAATCCTGATCTCCCACTGGAGTATCAATCCCGATGGATCTCCCATCGGAGTATCGTTATCAAGTCCATTGTATTGGTAGATGTTGAGCTTAAGTCCCCGAGGTCACCATCATCCTAGCGCTGGCCAAGAAATCGTTATCATCTGACCCACGAATTTAGCTGGCCGTCTTTTTTGGTTTATTGGACAAGTATCCTAGCACCTGGCTGTCCAAGCCTGTCGGTGACCGGGGTGACATTTCTCGGCTCAGAAATTTATCATATGTCTAAAGCCATCCATCATCGAAGAAAAACCCGAAATTTTTTAGTTCCTTACCAGGATTGAACCTGGGACCTTCAGTTAACATGCATACATCTCAACACCACTGGATCACTCCAGCGATTATAGATACTTTTAATAAAAGTATTAAATGATTATGAAATCAAAAAATCACAAATATACACTACAACAACTGACAATGGGGCAATTTTTGGAGGATAGTGATGAAGACAATCAAATGTCAGAAAATGATGTAGAAGAACAAATACAAAATATAGATAATTTGAATGATGTTTCTACTAGTTTCACAAATGTATCTGATGAATTAACAATCAATCTTAATGATTATCAACATAATATTATAAATATAAGATGTGCATCTCATACCTTATAACTTGAAGTAGATCATGCATTAAAAAATTGCTCAGTTTCTAATATTATTATTAATGCTCGTTCTGCATCCAAGAAGCTAAGGAGACAAAATCGATCAAACTAAAAAAATTTAACTTAAAAAGATCTATATTGGATTATCATCGATTGTTATCAACCTATGGCATGCAAGAGAGATTTGAATTAAAAGATATGTGTGAGGAATTATCAGTATCATACATGAACTTTATTTTTCAGTTTTGGAGTGGGAAGCAATTATAAGGTTGATAAATATCCTAAAACCAATTAAAGTAGCTACCAAAAACTTACAACTTAGGCAGATAACCTTGGGGGATTTTTATGGCATATGTCTAAAAGTTAAAATAGACATTTATATTTTACTTAACCCTTTGCCGGTTCAATAATAGATGCTATGAATTTTAGAGAGAAACAACTTTTAAACAACAATGCCTTTTGTCATGCCTATATCTATATTTAAGCTATGTTTTAAAAATATATTATATCTTATATAAATTTAATTAATAATTTTATTTACCTTAATTCATAATTTTTCTATCTATTCATAAAAAATAATAAGATTTTTTTAATGATATTTTTATTATTATATATATATATCAAGTGCTTCCGACTAATAAGAAAAACCAAGTCTATGGCATTTGGAATTAAACTATGTTATAAGAGTGGAGGATTCTAGTAAAGGTGAATCAATGCCGGTTAATGTATCTTCATCTGAAGAGGATTTAGTAGAAAGTCTTTTTTTAAAAAAAGATGGTAACAAACAAAATCTGTTAAAAAATCGGAGAATATTAGAAATATTTTAGTTAATTTTTCTACAGAACCTAGGTCAAATAAAACTATGAATATTTTAAACTATTGGAGAAATCAGAGTAATCGATACCCAGAATTATGTAAATTGTTTCATGCTGGCAGTGCCAGCTACCCAAATTAATGTGGAAAGATGGTTTTCAACAATTAAATTTATACCATCTCTTTATAGATGTAATTTGAGTGAGACAAATCTTGAAAATATATTAATTGTGCTGCCTAATAAAAAATTTTTAAGTAAATAAAGTTAAATATTGTTCATATTAAAATTAATCATTGATATTTATTTGTATTATTTATAATTTAAATATTATTTTATAATGTGCATTAATAAAAATGAAAGTTTTATGTATGTGTTTTTTATTTTATGATGAAATAAAAAAAATATAACTTCCTATACATAATTCGAATGTAGATTTGAATACAAAAATGTTCAAACCGGTTTTTAGAAGTTCAAACCGAACCGATATTTTAATTTTTTACGAACCGAACTTGAACATTGAACCGTTATTTTTATCCGAACCTGAACCGAACCAATATTTGTTTTGGTTTGGATCCCTGCTTTTGATACTATCTTATATCATACATAATATTAGTTAATAATAAATGGCACATTGCTTATTAAATTATTAGATTAAATGAAATATAAATATTAATCGATATTACCATACAATTGAATATATCGTAGTTTTATTATGAAGACTTGTTTATAGCAGATATGCACTGATGCCGCAAATAATAACAAAACCATATTTTAAAAAAATTTGAAAAAGATTGCGCTATTGCCCTTAATTTATAAGAAAAATAATTTAAATACAAATTTTTAAACAGGTAAGAAAGAAAACGTTTAATTAAAATATTCCATCATAAAACCGATATTGATAATGAAGGCATTGCTAATTCTTTTGATATTTCTTCTTAATTTTAAAATTTTGATTGCAGAATTAACTTTATGACGAAGAATAAACACGCAAGTAAATAATTCATGACTAAAAGTTTCAAAAATATTTTTGGAGACTTGAAGACTGGGAAAAATCTTATAACATATCATTTTAAAATATCGGTAATGTACATCTCTGATTAAAATAATTAATAGAATATGTAAATAATTTTTGCCAGCAGAATTTGCAGTTTACCAACGGGTCTAATCTTATTTGCCCTTGTCTAGTCCAAGGTGAAGTCTTGATTTTTTTTCAATGATAGGGACAGATCTCTAATCCTCTGAGCATCAACCTACTAGGACATTTAATGACCTCTAAATTTTTTACATATCAAAAAAGACTGAACCAATCTAAAATTATACTGATGAAATTTTAATTTTTCACTGACAAAAATGAAAAATTTTATTGATCGAAAAATACTGAAAATTTTATAAAAAATATTGGAAGTTTTAATTATTCATCATTCCATTCTTTTTTTATCGTAAAAAATTAATTTGTTTTTTTAAGTCATCCACCTCATTTTCTAAGAAAAAGTATAAAATTTTGGATTGTTACAATAAATGTGAGATACTTTTATCATTAACACACATAATCATAATAAAAATATTATATATCTTAATAGATAACCTAAATCACGATGAATATTTATTCAAGGATTTAAAAAAGTCAGTGTTAAATAATGCAATAAATATACATGAATGGGACAAAAAATCCTTTGATATGCTACGTCTCTTACAAGTATACATATTTAATTAAAATACAATCTAGATCTATATATTAGATTAATGCCTTGGAGGATATATTAATTGATAATAAATCACAATGGGATACCGGTGTTAAATTTATGGAATCCGCTATTCAAGAAACAATTGATGACATTAAAATAAAATTAAAAGTTTACCGAATTTAAATAGCATGTTTAAATTGCTATCAATTAACATAAACATTAATTCCCTTTGTTAAATGGGTAGGTCTATGATATGTAACAAGAAATCACGCAAATTTTTAAGATAATTTTTTAATGTAATTATAGTACGATTTAAATTTGGAATTAGGCTTATTGAGCCGGACTTATGACATTAACAATAATCTATCATTTAAATAAGGACATTAACATAAATTTTAATCAATCTGATAAGATTCCTAAATAATAGAAGGATAGTTTTACAGTATTTTTTATTATCTACGGCTTTTCTAGGGAAATTATTTCTTCTAAATCATCCATTTTGTAAAAATTAATAAATAAAACATGTTAATTTTATATATTATTTTTATTCTCTATAATTAAAATGTTGATAATTATTATACGCTAAGTTAATTTTTGTATTATATAACATATGTTCTACATTAAATAAAAATAGGATTATCAAGGCAAAACATGGTTTGAAAAATGGGTAAATTGGAGTAATAACAATACAACTAAATATTCACGATATTTTACAATCATTCAAGAAGAAGTTGACCAGATATTGAAGTCTAGTGTTACTAATAAAGCTAAACTTAATGAAGATATGATGCTTGATAAGGTTAAATACAATCTTTCAAATCGTGGTATCGATTTTGGCGATGATAAAAACATCGATGAAAAATACATTTCAACAGTTGCCAATTATTTATTTAAGTTATAAATTTATCTTATAATTTATAATTTAATTTAATTAATTTAGAAAACATTTCTTACAAGAGTCATTACAAAATGCGAAGGAATGCAAAAAAGCGTTTTATTATTATCAACAGCAAAGCCTTAGCAAGAATATAGATAATAATAAATTAACAGTTTTTCATTGTGACGATGTCGTTTTATTTTGGCGTATCTATAAAATGCTGCAATCAACAACTCATTTTTTAAGACAACAAGTAAACCCCGACTACATTACTTTTTAATATTTTGTATGCTTATATATATTTAACATTGTATTGTAAGAACTTTTAAAATTGATAATTTGAAAAAATAAATGAACTATAAATATAAACAATTTTGGAGACCTGCAGAGATACGATTTTAAAGTCCAGGTTAAGAAAAATTCTTATCAAGGCCCATTTTTTAAATAAATATTTTTTTTGGCCCGCCTTCTATTCGAATTTTATAATGTAATTTTAAGTAATTTTGTAAATATTGCGGGCAATTGCAGGGGCGGACTGGCCATAATATCAGATGGGCATTTTGCCCACGAGGCCGCGAGAAAATGTTGATTTTTGAGGCCGATCAGAGGAAAATATCAAAAAAGAGGCCGATTTAAAAAAAAATTTATTATGTTCACATTATTTTTTCTTATCATTTATTTATTTTTAATAATATCGTTATTATTTGGATATCACATTCCTTTTAAATATCAATAACGTCGCTTGACGCTAAACATCATTACCACATGCTTTTTTTTGTTTTTTTTTAAATCAAGTTAAAACGCTTCCGTTTGAGTTTGAGTAGATTGAAAGCTAAATTTGATTAATATATTGATTTATTTTAGGAATAATATAGCCAACATTTGTGATTGTATTTCTTGTTCTTAATTCATTGAAATTAAATAAAACCCAGGTATAATAATTTTAATGAAATAATTTTTCATCAATTTGATTTTCTAATGTTTCTTTTTAATATTAATTAATTGATTGTTAATTTATGTTATATTATTACTAACTTAACGAACACAAATAGTTAAAATACCTAATGATTACAACAATTTACTTCTCATTTGCAAAAATTTTCAGTAAAATTTATTGTACAAACCAAATATAATAATCAACTTTATATAGCTATTTTTACACTTATTTATATAATAATTGAATTGAAATGTATGTAAAAAGTCAAAAGTAAACAACTTATTCATATTTCATAACCCATAAATAGTGATGTTTTTTTTATTATTACTGGTTGGTTCATCAGATTTTCATAAAAATATGCAATTGAAATATGTATTTTATTTGAATTTCCAGTTCACATCTTGAGATATTTTTTTAGCCTTAAGTTATAAATTAATAATAGTTAATTTTTTTTTATGCATCATCTTATGAAAGTATAACCTAACATTATGACTTTATTGTCTTATATTAAAATACAATTCTTTATAAATTATATTAAATTTAATTTTACCTTGTTTATATTTACCATGGGTAGTCTACACAATATATTATTTTTGGTTAAATTGATATATTTTTAAATATCATGCATGGAAATGCCAAAAGGAAATTTAAAGGTGGAGCTAAAAAATTTAGAGAAAAAAATGCTACTGGTCTCAAAGCAGCTGCTGATCCAAAACAACTTAAATTATCTTTCTTTGATAAATCAATACCAGATATTTCTAATACTATTACTTCATGTAACAAAACTATTTTTTTAGGAATATCAACAACTGCCTCCCGTTCGTATCTATCTGAAACAACTACATTTTCTGCAACATCTTCATTTATTATTGCATTAGTTTAATAATTGCCACACCCACTTAAAACTATATTATCCACCATTACAGCAGATAAATCATTCATACTCTAAAAATACATTATCTACAATTATAGCAATTCCATCCTTAATATCCTCACACTTGTTAGAAGCAACTACATCAATAATGTCTTCAGATATTACATAAAGTGGATTATTGATATCGGAAACAATTTCACCATGTATAGGATTATTTACGTTACATTCATCTGTAATAATTTCATCATCTTATCTTTTAAAGAGCTCCTTCCCAGATAAGCCAAAATCGATTCAGGGTATCTCTTTCAGAATTGGATACACATACACATAAAATTTTTAAGTTGCAATTAACAGCTATACCTTAAAAACTTACATTTTTAATCTAATATCCAATACAACCAATAAATAGTAATATGATAAATTATATTATGAGTGAAAAAATGCCTAGAAAATTACAATTAAACTAATATGCAATAAAGCCAAAACTGTTTACTGCTCAATCTACCTGGAATTTACAGTATGCGAAAACACTTTCACATCAGACTCAACAAATTTTCGACATATGCATTCTAATTAAAATACATGAAGATTCAAGAGTACATATTAGTACAGTCTAGGCCTACCTCAGAGCATCAAAAAACAAGTCATTTGATAATTCAAGTAGTGTTAAAATATTAAATGAAAAAAATCGACAAATTTATAACAATTTCCACATAATAAAACATATATACGAGATAATAAAGTTTTTAACCTACGGAGGATCAAATGCTACTTAAACACTTAGCCACTTTGAAGATAAAAATTTGAATCATGGGAATTTCTTAAAAAGATTCTTATTATATCAAAGAATGATCAAATACTCAGAGATCGTTTAGAGAAGGCTATTTTAAAGATCAAACATAGAAAAGAAAAGCTTAAACTCTCTGACAAATGAATATTGAAGGAAAGAAGTTCTCTCATAACCTTGTTAAAAACAACTGTTTACAAAGTTATTGATATTTTTCTTGATCAAATCAGGAATTTAATAAAAAAGGAGATTAGTAACAAACGGTTTAGTTTGCAAATGGATAGTACTCAAGACATTATTGTTTATGATCAAGAAACCATTTGCCTACGATACATATATAATGGCAAAACAACAGAAAGGCTTTTCGCAGTTGCAAAAGTTACAAAATCTTTTGGTAAAGGATTCTTTGATATCTTGAGTGAATGCTTTTTAAAACATGAAATTCAAATGACAAATATAATTGGAGAATCATTTGATGGTGCTGCAAATATGCGGGGTGAATTTGTTGGGTTGCATGCTCTTATTAGACTAGAGGCTCCAGGTAGTTTTTTATATTTGGTGTTAGTCACATATTAAATCTATGTATATGTGATTCATGCGATAATATTGAAGGCAAAAATTTATTTGGATTATTGAACAGACTAGCAACTTTCTTTAGTGAATCATATAAAAGGATGCATACTTGAGTGAAACAGAATAATTCATCTGGCCAAAATAAGTTGAGAAGGCTGCAAAAAATAGGTGAGACAAGGTGGTGGGCACGTGAAAAAGCCCTTAGATTGCTAAATGGTAATGAGAGCTTGCTATAGATAATAAATCATTTGAGACAAAAACCTCATCAGAAGCAGTCTTTAATCGATAATTTATATAAATTTAAGACTATGTACAGCTATAATAATAATATATTTGGAAATTTTTGAAATAATGGGGCCACTGTAATTATATCTTCAAACTAAAAATTTAGATATTTTGTCAGCATGGAAAATGATAGAAGATGCTAAGTCTTCTGTATTATCGATAACTATTACTTCGATTCAAAATAAAGCAATAAAAATGGCTTTTAATTTAAATGAAACACTTTCATATTTAAAGCTCCCTAAGAGTATCTGGGTACAGAATGCTCTGCCAAAAAATTGAATAGGACGAGTGAAGAAAATATATAGGAACGAAGGCATGAACGTCCTTAAGAATCGATTGATTTATAGAGTCGAAGCATTTCGTCCTGTAATTGATCAAATTATAAATAGCTTGTACGGTTTTATGCGAATAGAGAGCTTATTTTGAATGTGCAATATTTGCATCCAAAGCATTTTGATGAAATAAATAGTAAAGGTATTTCTGAAAAGGTTTTGGAAAAACTGGCACATTTGGCAAATATATTTAAATTACGTAACGAATTGTGTTCATTTGCCAGTGTATTCAAAGATTTAATAGCAGAATTAAGTGAAACGGACTATGATATCGTATGTACAAGTGAGAAGTTATATGAAGAAGTTGGAATATTACGATATGATAATAACTCAGAGTGTGATAATAAATGTAACAATTGTTTAATATGCCTGTATGAAATTCTTAAAAGATAGAATATGCATACAAGTAGTGTTGCGTAATCGGCTAAAAACTACGCCTAAGCCTAAAAATCAGCTAAGCCTAAAAATCGGCTAAGCCTATATAAATCTGCTAAAATTAAATTAGTCAAAATTCTGCAGTATTAATTATTATTTATTTATTTTAGTAAAATAATTTATTTTATTTATATTTAATGTAAATATTTAATTATTATCAACAAATAAACATGATATGATTTAATATTTTTTATTTATATTACTATATTTTGAAATGAAAATAAATTTATTTATTTGATGTTTTTTTAATAAAAAAAATAATATGCTGCTATTAGAGAACTGCAAAGTAATTTTTTCGCAACCCGAGCCCGACCCGAGCCCGAATTTAAAAAATTTTTTTGTCCGAGCCCGAGCACACATTTTTTAGTCCAACCCGACCCGAATAAAATTTTGCAATTTAAGTTTTAATATTATAATAACCAAAAAAAATTTATGTGTATTTATTCAGTTCAGCCACCTTAAATAAAAGTTTATTTGACGGCCATAATCTATTCAAGATATATATTAAGTTGCACTTTATTAAATTTGTAAAAAATATTATAAAACGATTAATATACAAGCGAATTTAAAAATTATAACGATTATATAAATACAATAAACATCATTTATGCAAATATAGATATGATATAATAATAAATATATAAAAAATATAATGAACATATTATATTATATTGACCTCATCAATATCATTATCAAAATTATCACAAAGTGAATAATTATGATATATAAATAAAGAGGTGTCCAGTTTATCTGGCTTTAAACGAGTCCTTCTCTCCTCAAAGACCCTACCAGCAGCTGAAAACGCCCTTTCACTGCTAGCCGGCGAAGCAGGGATAGCCAGGAATTTAAGAGCTAAAATACTTTTGGCAAAATATTGGCAACAATTAACAAAGCCTTCCCCATGAATTGTATCAAATGATCTCAAATCACGTCTACAAAACTTAGTAAGCACCTTTGTGCACTCTTTTTTCAATTTTGTACAACTTTTGAGTTTTTTCGGATCAGTACCAAAAAGACTATCAATTGTTAA